CTTTCCCTTCATTCTCACGCAAACTCGCAAGACCCCATCCACATCTCTTAACTCCTACAGATCTTCACCTCCAGCTTGCTATGTCGCCCTTCCTGCCTCCAATTCACAAGCTTTGTAGCTTTGATGACCCAAACCCTAAGGCCAGCTCCACAGCCACCTCCTCCTCCTTTAGCACCTCACATACCAACTAAACTGAAGAGCCAACTCCCTCCGCTTAGCCCTCACCTCCAATTTGCTCAAGAACAAGCTCTAATAGTCTTACGTCCTTCGTCAGTCATCTCACGTGCATCTTCACTCTTCTTATCATGTCGCAGCCACACAAGCTTATTTCCCTTCCTCCTTGGTTCACATGAGAGACCATCTCCGCCTTCTCTAAGTTTGTCTCGGTACCTTCTTGCCACTAGATCTGCAAGAGGACTGAATGTGTTAGTGAAAGAATTTATATTAATATATACAAAAGCACTTCACAAGCGCACTGAGATTCACACTAATACATCACAAATATATCAAGATTCGTGCACTACTACTATTAAATAACCCCATGTGCTTTGATGTTTGTTTTAATTCGATAAACTTAAGTGTTCATAATTACTGCACTGGTTAAAATATATTTAAGCTTAAATCAAATTTGCTTGAAATATGTGCAAAACTATTTAAAAATCAACTTAAACCAACAAGTTTAAAACACCCACATGTGCTCCCACATTGTCCTGATTGACTAAATTTGAGTGTGTAAGAATGCTCCATGGGTTGATTGCACATTTATTCTAAAATTAAATTTGTTTCGAGAAACGTGCATGCTCTTAAAAAAAAAACAAAATCTCTTTTTCAAATATCTGGAAATTATAAAATTACGCATGCTCTTGAACAATTTTAAGTCACACTTTAGTCTGATCCTCCTTGTAGGGACTAGAGTTGACAAGATTGAGTCGCCATTGAATCATTCTAATCATTCTCCTAACAAAGACTGGAGTTGACATGACTAATCTATTTCTAATGCTTAAGTAATTAAAATTAATCAAATTATAAAATGTATTTCAATCAATGAGTCTACTTTTAAAACTAGGCTTGAAAGTATATTTAAAATTCAATTAATATAATTTATGAACTTGATCCACTGAAAGAGGATAGTCAACAATGTTCAAAATTTTACCTAAATCTTTTATGATGATCATATTGATAGTATATTTCAAACGTAGGGGTTTATTTTTAAAATAAGTCTCAAAATTTATTTCTAAAACTCAAATGATATATACTATGAACATGATTTTTGATGCCGAGAATATAGTTGTGTACAAATTATATAGTTAACTCTGCCATGCAACGATGCCAAAAGCTAGATGCAATATTTTATGATTTAGAAATTTAAACAATTAATGTTAGGATTCTACGCAAGTATACATATTGTGTTATCAAATACATATTGTTATCAAGTAATAAAAGACTTTCTATTTAAGCTCCAAATATCGATCACACGATGAATGCTTAAATTTGAAATGATAAATTTACTAGGAAATTCACAGAAATTCAATACGAAATTACTGTCACTAATTTCGAGTCACTAATTTCGAATGTTACTAAATTATTTAACTAATAATAAAACTGAAATAGAAAGTTTAAACAATAACTACTAAACTATTAAACTATATTTATGTGCTATTAAACTAGTTTAAACAATAACTACTAAACTATTAAACTATATTTATGTGATGAAGATTTTTCCACTACAATGAGATTTTTCCCACTACAATGAGATTTTGGTAAAATGAGATGAGATAAATGGTTCAATTTTGTAATGAGTCAAATAAGAGCAGTTTTAATTCTCTACCCTGATACAATGATATAGAAAATCATTGGCTAATCCCAGGTTTTGTCCCTAAATCCGTGGCTGACTAGGAGGATACTAGCTCCCACTTCCCTTCACTTGAAGACTAACTCTCGTTTTAGTTTTTAAACACTAAGACCGAATTGGGGATTTTAGTATGTCACCCTAAAGGTTCTCCAATTCTTCATCCAACAAAGTATATTTCCCTATTTATTTGCACTTAATTTCATGAACGAAGTTCTCCTTCATGGAATCAAATGTGATCCTCACTCTGTTGTAGAACTCATACTCCATTTTTCGGATTATTTGTTTCACATCATATTTTAACAATTCAATTGGTCAGAGCAAAGAGAAAATTTGAAGTTGAAAAATCATCACAATTTATTTTATATTTTAATATTGACACATCCATATTATCTCTTCATTTCACCATATCTCAGAGTAGGGAGAAAGATAAAGTAAACTATTCAGACTTCACGAGAAAGATACAACAAAACACAAATTTTATATATAAAATAAAATTCATACAACACTAATAAACAAATAATGCTTATTTAAAACTTCTTTTTAAAGCAAATCCCTTATAGTCTCTTCTAGAAAATGAAGGAAGAAGAAATCTCTCACTTTTCTCATTCTCCAACACTCTTATAGAAGAGTTCACACTTATAGAAGAGTTCACACTTAAAGAGTTCACACTTAATCTCACCATAAAACTCTAAATTATAAGAACAATGTACTCTAAATGGTCTGGAATGAAAAAATGGAATAATGTGTGTTGTGTAGAAGGTTGAATAAAGGGGATGAAATGACAGGAATAGTCTCTTTTCTGATCAATTTTGGCCCCAAATAAAGCCTAGAGTCGGTTCTCCAATAGGTGCTTCCAAAAACTCTTCAAAATACTTTCAGATTCGTCGAATCTTCTAGAAATCTGGGGTGAACCGACATTGGCGCCGTCGGCGCCAGTGTCCCGCAATTTAATTCGTCCTCTTTGTCAAACGGCGACGTCGGCGCTGAACAAATTTCAACTTCTTCATTTTTGCTCTAAATTTCATTATTTTTGCTTCCTTTTTGTTTAAGTCCTAAAATTTAACAACTTGAAAGAAAATATAAAAATATCTTCTATTAAAGTCCAATATCACAAAAAATGAGTATAAAATATGGGTCTAAAAATTCATATATTTTTGGTGTATCAATTTTCAAGAAGCAAGATAGAGTTAATAAGGTTCAGATCAATCATGTGTCAATTTCTGAACCTGATTCTCTATAAGCGGGGCAGAGTCAATAATGTTCAAATCAAATGATTAGATATCTCGATAATGATCATTACATATTTTAACTAAATAGTTTTCTTTAAAAAATCAAGATTTTAACTTACCATATTCATATTGTTTAAAAGAAATATATTGGAAAAAAAACTAAGAACAAAATTATATCTGCTCTCCGAAATCATTTTTCTAGGGTGACAAATCTAATATTGACTTAAGATCACAAATAACAAATGTCATATCAATTATATTAATAAATTCATACTTAAGACAATTTGATGTCAGTAAGAACATAGCTCGAGTCATTTATCCACGTGGTGTGACTAGCAGACATAAAAAAAACAGTTACAACTAGAACCCTCTGACCGGGTGGTTTGCCGACAAATAATATTATTATATTACGATCACAATTGTAACCATTATGTTCTTCAATGGTATTTTGCCTTATTGAGTTGTGAATTATAGGATATATGATAGGGTATTAATCCCTTTGCAAGCTAAGGTCGATTTTGATTAGTGACGAACATCCACCATAGGTTTATAAGGCTCCCTTAGACGAAATAACTCATGGCTGCTCATATGAATCCTTCTAGTAAATTGACTCGACTATCTCTACTAACTAAGTAGATCAAGAACCATGACAACTCGTGATGACAGATCATGAGATCTTGATCAGACTCATCATCATTTACCCCATCTTCCACTCTAAATTCAGAGTGATAATTTCATCATCTTAGAATTTTTAAAATTATTTCTACTATATGCTAAGTTTGAATATTTTATACCTAATGACTAGCTTTAATCTAAAGTACTCTCATGTTATTTGATGAGGTTGTTTTGGGGGGCAGGGGAGGGAGATAATTAGCCATAGGAGCTTGTGTTTATGGGAAATCTCAAACCCCAGATCTTGATGTTCTTATGAAATGAGAGTGAAATCTATGTGTAGTGTTTTATTTACTATTTCATCTGCTTTCTGAAAATGTGACCTGAAATCTCACGTAAACTCCATCTTCTCATTTCATTTCATTCTTTTTTTCGACGGAGGCCGAGTCATCAAATTTTCAGAGACCACATCTATGTGCTTAGACTCTCAAATTCCACGTACAAGATAATCCAAGTTATAAGTAGTCTGCTCTTTTGCTGCTTTTTGTTAAATTCTTCTTATACAATTTCATGCACTAAATATTTGTTTTATTATTCTCCCTGAAATCATGTTATTAATTATTTTCTTTTATGTTTTTTTTCTTTTTCCATCTCAAGGACACTAACCTCACCTGTGGATTTGCTTAAATGTTTGAAGTCTATCAAAGAATATGCTTTTGTAGCATCTCCATACCCTGTTGTCATAACTCTAGAGGACCACTTAACTCCACATCTTCAGGCTAAAGTTGCTGAGGTTAAATTAGTTTTTGAGCGATTTTTTATTATGTTTTCTACCCAAGTTTTCTTTCTTAGTTTTAATTGATTATTATTCTGATATATAGATGGTCATCGAAACATTTGGAGAAATGCTCTATTACCCCAACTCTGAGACTCATGAAGTCTTTCCTTCACCTGAATCTCTAAAGCGGAGGATTATTCTTTCAACCAAACCTCCTAAAGAGTATCTTGAGACTTTGAGTTCCAAGAAAGAGAAAGAATATCAAAATAGGAGTATCTCTATTGAGGAAGACGATTGGGGGGAGCTCCCAGATATGAAAGCTCAAATTGAATCTTATGAGGTGTGGTACCGCATGATTAACAAAATCATTTTATGTGATTTCTATGACTATAACACTTATCCTGAAAAATATTTATATTTGTTAGCATGAGGATGACAAGAGTGATCAAGATGCTGCTGATGATGATCTTGCCGCTGAGGATGATGATGAACATAAAATACGCCAAGCTCCTGCGCCAGAGTATAAGCATCTGATAACTATAAGGGCTGGGAAACCAAAGGGTTCCTTAAAAGATGCACTGAAGGTGGATTCCAATACAGTCAGACGACTTAGTTTGAGTGAACAAGAACTTGCCAAGGCCGCAGCTTCTCATGGGCCTGATCTAGTCAGGTATTTTGTGTTTATTTGAGATCCATTGCTAAAATGAGTTTTTTTTTTTTCTTAATACTTTTATGCTGCAAAATAAAGTTATGAGCCTGGTGACTGGCGAGTCTCTTAAGTTACTAGACCATTACAACTTACTTCTATATATGTGCTTATTATTTAGAAAGATTTACATACATACCACTCAATTTTATGCATTTACATTTCAACACCTAAAGTACAATATTTACATATGTACCCCTTACCTACGTATGAAAAGGTGTATTCACGTTTTAAAATTTAAACTAGTAGTATTTTTTATTTGATATAACATATGTGGGTGGTATAAATGTAAGAAACATAGTTTAGCTGCTAGATATGTAAAAACATATGAATTGGGTGGTATGTATGTAAATGCCTGTCTTATGTTGTTCTCTGTATATTGAATACAATCGTCCGATCAGTTTGTCAGAAGCATGCAAGAAAAAAAAATGATCATTATTGATAATGTTTATTACGTAGGTTCACTCAAAGGAATATGCTTCGGATTTATCCTAAGGGCACACGTGTTACCTCATCTAATTACAATCCTTTGATTGGTTGGATGCATGGTGCTCAAATGGTTGCCTTCAACATGCAGGTTAGCTTCTGTGCTTGCTTATCTGATTAAACAGCTAACGTTCAACAAATTTAATATATGCTTGAAGTCTTTATTTGCCTGTGATTTTTTTTGTTTCCTGTTTGTCAAATATTGGTAGATAGTCTATAACGCACATCTGCTTTGCCTGCAAAGCACCTATACACAAAATCAATGTAACCTCACAAATATATACAAAATGAGTGAAATAAAATCATTATCTTCTAAACCATGCAGCCATTTGGTTGAAACTAAAAAACTCATTGAAAAATAGTAATTTTATGTTTACTATATTCTTAGGTTGGATCTATGTAGCACCCATCACTAATTTTCTTAGACATATTTTCTATACACAAGTAACCAAATAAGAGAACTTCATCGTGCTTGTTCTAGTAGGGCTATGGAAGGTCGCTATGGTTGATGCATGGATTTTATAAAGCCAATGGGGGATGTGGATTTGTGAAGAAGCCTGATTTCATGCTACAGGATGGCCCTCATGGTGAAGTTTTTAATCCCAGAGCTAATCTGCCGATCAAGAAAACGCTGAAGGTGGATTATTTTTGCATAGTTTAATGTGTTCCACTCATTTTTTGGAAAAAATATTACGTCCGGAGTCGCGCTCCGCTCCGCTCCGCTATATCATGTCCGTTGTCCGAACATAATATTTTTTCCATTTTTTGAAGCCAAAAACTGTAGTACTGAACTATCATTTTGTTTTCTGCACCTCCGGCAGGTTAAAGTGTATCTGGGAGATGGATGGCGGCTTGACTTCAAGCAGACACATTTTGACGCATACTCCCCGCCAGACTTCTATACCAAGGTACCGCTGACAGTTTCATTCCTCCATTTGGCCTTTATATAATTTCTACTTGGGGGAATTGTATATTATATTTGCACATCTGAAGAATGAAAAACTAACACCTGAATCTTTTTCAGACATCAAATGGTAAATATGAAGTTCTAACTGATGGGTGTAAATATGAAAAGTTTTTTGTATCTTGCGTCCGGAGTTCAGTGAAAACTTGTCACGTGGCAAGTGGGCCCCACATCTTTTTAAAGTCACCCTTAGCCAGTGTGTTACAGTGGGGCCCACTTGTCACGTGACAAGTTTTCACTAGACTCCGGATGTAATTATCTCTCGTAAATATGATAGGGCTGTTCACACGCATTATATGTAAAATATTATGATTTACATGTTTAACATCAAAATAAGAATAACAGCTACCCTAACTCTTTATGTCATTGGGGCATCTTCTCCTGATCTTAGCCGGCCTCTTAGCCAATTTCCAATGTCTTTTTGCCTGATTTTAATCATTCTCTTTTGTTGAGTGTCCGAGGAGATCCATTAATGAAGTTGTTAACTAAGTGCCAAATGATATAAATAGTGAAGTTTGTGTTGAATAGATTATGAATGTAAATACCCCAATATAATGATATTTTTTTTTTTTCTTGTATGCTTATAAATCCCCTTCCTAACTTTATATGAAGTCTAATTTTCAACAACCTTAGGTTGGAATAGCCGGCGTTCCAGCAGACTGTATAACAAAGAAAACAAAGACCGTAGAAGATAATTGGGCGCCAGTATGGGATGAGGAATTCACTTTTGCACTACGAGTGCCAGAACTGGCATTGCTTCGCATCGAAGTGCACGAGTATGATATGTCTGAGAAGGATGACTTTGGGGGACAGACCTGCTTGCCAGTGTGTGAGTTAAGACCGGGGATAAGGGCGGTGCCGTTGTTCGACCGCAAGGGCATGAAGTTCAAGTCTGTAAAGCTTCTCACGCTCATCGAGTTTATTTGAGATTAGTTGCATCTGATTGTTTTGTTCTGTTCTTCCCAATCCTTTTTTGTTACTGAAAATGGGAAAAAATTTGCGTGCGATAAACGTACGCAGCGCTGCATACGATAAACGTACGCAGCGCTGCATACGATATTGGGGTTATACCGAGGGTACAAGGGGGTTATATCCGCTGTATAACCCCTTGTAACATCCCCGTAACATTCTGTAACATATCTGTAACCTAAAATAAGTTTTGCATATATTAAGAATTTATTAGTAGGTTACGGATAAGTTATAGAAGGTTACAGGGAGGTTACAAAGGGCTATACCGCGGATATAACCCCCTTGTACCCTCGGTATAACCTTAATATAGTACGCAGCGCTGCGTACGTCTATCACACGCAAATTTTTTCCCTGAAAATGAGGGGGCTTTAGGCTGTGGATTTTGTTTATTTGTACGTGTGTTTACCTACATACCGCCTAATTCCTTATATTTACATATCTAACACCAAAATTTTACTTTTTACATTAAGACCTCTGAAATCTTTTGTATCACGTCGAGAGTACCCGCCATTTTAACTTCTAAAAAGTGAAGCACACTTCTTTTTTAATTGGGCATGTGAGAATTGAAGTTTTGGTGGTAGATATGTAAAAACATAGGGATTGAGTGGGATGTATGTTAATCTTTCTTATTTGTATGTATCATTTGATTTGAGTTGTCATTGAGTTTTACTATATTCCAACCAATATATGAATGATGTTAATGATCTAAACAAATAAACTTGTCATCAATAATATTTTTTTTTTTTTTAATTAATTAACATTGATGAGAACTTTTTTTTTAGCATTATTGTTAGCATTTTATGGGTGATAGAGTTTGCTTTTTAATCGATTCATCTAATTAGCTATGTTCAATACTTCTATCATTATATATTAATTTGAAAATTAATTAAATTTTAATCCATTAATTAGTGAATTTAAGCTGTCATGCTTGATTAAGAGTCATTATATAACTTTTTAATTTTAGAGGGTGTTCATATAATTGAGACCTTCAAGCTCAAATGATGCACGGGCCTCTCTCAAAAATGATAAGAAATGAGAATGATGTGTGTTTATTGTGAGGTTTGGGTCAAATTTTTAATAGAAATATGAGATAGTAAACCGTTACACAAATATTTCGCCATCATTTATTTAAGACTTTAAGATTTGGGGTTCAAAGTTTTTTATAGGGGCAAGCTCTTATGATTAATTATTCCTTTTGATAATGGGAGAACGCTTTTGATTAAGGCTAAACTTTAGGCTTTTAGAATTCAGACTTAGCTTATAATAGCAATACAAAATTATCATTGTAAGTTTAGAGTTGATGGTGCGAACCTGCTCAATATATGGTTCTGTCATTCTAGAATGTCTTAGTCCCTTGTTTACTTTGTCAAAGGAGGTTATTGACCTAGCCGAGCAGTAGGATCTTTGTCAACATGCTTTGTCCAAGGGAACATTGTAGACAAGGGGTGAATTTTTGTCTAAGGAGATTAAGCTAAGTCGATCTTAACTTATAGTCATATTAGGTATAATCAAATATTCATAAAATAAAAGGGGAAAACCATTTAAGAGTTAACATACGGGATACAACTATGATCGTCAAATAATGGTTTTATTTGACAGTAAATCACCAATTAGAGGGCTCTTTTCTTAACTTTGTCTTTTGTAGAGCTTGCTGACTAAACCATGCAGACAGTGAACTTAGGGATGGAGTTATTTTGAGTATGAATATAATTGTATAAGTAATATGATATATGCTCTTTGTGAGCTTTAGTTAACATTCGCCCTTGAGGGTGGAATGGTTTTGCTTAAGCTTATAGTGATAGATTTTTAATTTAAATATTTTTAGATTATTTTATAAGTTGAATTTTAATTTTATGAATGAATCCCCTCCAACTGAGATTCACCTTCAACATGATCATCATTGACGATTTAAGTTATTTGAATATTGTTGACTTGGTCTTGTTAAAGAAGAATTATTTTTATAACCTAAATCAATTTATTTTGTTTAGATGTTCTTTTGAGCTTAATTTGGAATGTAGACCTCTATGATGGAGATTTGCAATCAACATGATCATCGTCCGAAATTTAGGTAATATTGAACATGCTCGACTCGATCTCAATTACAGAGAATCAGGTTCATAACCTAAATCAATTTGTTTGTTCAGATGTCATTTTGAGCTTAATTTTGAAGATATACCCCTCCAATTGATATGTTCTATCAACTCGTCCATCATTGAGGTCAAATTATTACTTAAATATCATTAAATGTGCTAGTCCTATCAACTCTAATTCTCATGATAAGTAAGATAAAAAAGATGTATCAGGAGATTAATCTTAATCAACTTCAGTCCTAATTAGGAGGATCATATTGCCTCAGTGGGCACTTAGCTTTGTCAACTCCAGCCCCCGATCAAATTGGATAAAATGGGACTTATGACTTTACCCTATAAATGTGCTCATAAGTGTGTGCATTTTAATAGCTTTCAACTTGATATTTTTATAAATGATAATTTTGCCAAGCTTTAAAATATGTGCACACATTTCAATACATTTTTTACTTCAACTTATGCACATAACTAACCATTACAACTCTCTTAGACATTTGGGTTTGAGTATTTAAAAGCAGGTCGGAGCACATGCGAGTATATTAAACTTAGCTTGAATTAAATTTAGAGGGTTTTTCCACCTTTTAAAGATGAATCATAATTTAACTTGGGCTTTCAATTAACCGGTGCATCATTCTCAGACAAATAAGTTTAAGAATTTAGAATGATCTTTAGAGCAGATGTAGATAGATGTTTTAAATGCAAAAATGTTTCCTAAAATTATTTAAAGCTTTGAATATTTGCATGTATTTATCATTCATTAAAATCTAGGCAAGGTTTCTATTGATGCATTCTAGCGAGACGACTTATGTCCGCTTTATAGGATGGTTGTCGATCCGGTGGTGATCTTAATTTGTAGTTTAGGAGCTTTATATTGATTGCATTTTAGTCCAACAAGTTCAATTTAATCGTCCTTTGTGAGTGACATGTAGGCAAAATTTTGGCAGCCTCGTAGCTTCATTTCCACTTGTGGGCTACTTCAGGAAGCTAGGACTTACCACCACACCTAACAAGTTATGTGTGGCTGATGTCAAGGGACATCGAGACCAAAATTTCATTTTATCCACCACACCTAACAAGATTCAAATATGCCATTAATACGTACCAAGAGAGAAATAAGATTTCCCCACTATCTTGGAATAATGTGAATGGTTACTTAATTTTCTTTTTTTTAATAAATTTATTAGTATTTAATAATTCATTTTACCGAGGCCCATTCAGTCTGAATGTTGACAACTTTATGTTGTCATCCTTCTTTAATGGGCTATCTCGGGGGGCTAGGTCTTACCACCACACCTAAAAAGGTGTGAATGGATGGTGTCGAAGGACACCGCAGTCAAAATTTTATGTTATGCACCCCACTTAACATGATGTGGGACAAATTGAAGTACATAAAACAAATTTCGATGTCTATAGAATCAGCTTGCCGATGTTGCTTCCATTACTTTAAAGCTTCCAATAGTGTCTTAAGATATACTTGAATTATTTTAATCACATTAGTCCTTACCTTTACTTGCCTCCACTACAAGTTATGGTTGTATAACAATTGGTTATGACTCTTGAATTCAACTCTCACTTTTACCTCAGCAGCAAAGCTTATATATAATGGGAAAAGCATTTGATATATCTCTCTAGGATTTGAACTTGACAACACACTGATACGTGTAAAATATAATGTAGTATTATAGTTCGTTTAGAACACTTTTTTGTGTTATTTTTATGTTCTTTTTGTGGGTATAACTTGCGTACTTTCGCAGTATACAAGGATAAATGTAGCAATTAAAAGAAATGAAGCTAATTAAGGAGCAACACCCCCGTGCCTAAAACAAGCACCAAAGCCTTAGATGGCGTGGGTCGTAGCTCTATATCTAGAGCACCTTAGCACCCAAAGCAAACAAATTATTGACAAAATCTTGAAAGCATGTCACCACAACATTAGAGGCTAAGCTTGTCAATGGCAGAGACCAGCACCATTGTGCCCACATAAATTGCATTGTCTTGCCCAAAGACTTAGTTTAAAGAATCATAGCATGAAACTTGGTGCTTTAATTTTGCATCATTGCACCCAACTCTAGCTCCCCGACGCTTATCGACAATAAAGTGGTTTTACAATGTTTTGACGGTTCAATCGAAGGAAGTGATAACATGTGAATTAGTACTTTAGAGAACTTTTGGGGAGACTCACGATAGACTTAGGAAGGCTTCAAGATAACTTTGTGTGTGTGTGTTTGAGTGTTTATTGTGTGGAAAAAATTAAGAGAAGTTCAAAGGAGAGAGCACATTATAAATGAAGAGTGCCTTGAAGAGAGAAGGGGTTCAAATTTAGGTTCTTTATTCATTTTCTATTTTAAAGCTAATCATTCTATCAGTTGCATTATTTATAAATGCTTCATAACTAATCTATAATGCTTTTATGATTTGGCATCAATAAATTCTTGTTTAGTCCATGTAAAATTCTAAAGTAAATTTTATAGCTTGTTGATTTGTTAACCTTTAATGCTTTGTTTATTTTCTTACTTATTACTAGAAAGGTTAAAATATCGTGTGATCTAAGACTGTCAAAAAAGGACTAGAAGAACAAGTAAGATAATGTACAATTTCTTGGTGGAATAAGAGCATTGTCATTAGAAGATTACAATCACATAGAAGAATGAGGACTCGTGGGAGCCTTTCTAGATATAAGGAGACTTAATCATAACATGAGACTTCAATGCTTCTTATGTCTAGGAATAAAATAATGAGCGATTGTCCCTTATTGTCAACAATAATGAAAATTTACTGGATAAACATAGAACCTTCACAAAAACCAAATTAAAGAAGCTTTTCTCATTCTAGTAAAAAAACAAAAACTTTTTAAATTTTACTTTCACAATTTAAGACTTTTAAAAAACTCTTTAAAAAATAGCTGATGAAAGCCTATTAGGACCAATTATTGATTATGAAGATGACAACAACAATGAGAAAGTTGATGTTTAAATTTGTAATGTAAATATTGATAATAATTTTTTAGTACATAAAATAAATGATATTTTTTTCATATAATTTTATCACTTTGTAATAAGTTTCTATTTCTACGTTGGTAAAGTTTGAAGACTTGCAATTTTGTCGATGAAGTGTTATTTTTATGTAGGTGAAGGTCGAAGAGCTGCAATTTTGTGGATGAAAAATTATTTTTAATTGATGTAACATCTTTTGTTGGTGTAGCAATTTTCATTTTTTTTGGAATCTCGATATCGGATGATTATTATTGTAATAGGAATTTCTTATATGAATATGTAGTTATGCTTATGTCCTTGAACTTCATTCTCTTCCTTCGTTATTCCATGTATATCACTCTTATTTTCACATGCACTCCTGATTTTTTGAAAGTTTCCATCAATGTGGAGGTTTAGTTGGTAATGGTTAGTTAGAATTATATGAGAATTAATATGCATGCTTTAATTCATGAGCTCTAATAGCCATGAGAGATTGGTGCACTTACTCAAAATATATGTTCCTCTAGGTAACTAGTGGTATGTCATTCATTCTATTATTTAATAGGTAATAAAGTAATACTTTTGGTCTTCCATTTATCTTTTGTGAAGCTTTTATTGTAAATCTTACAACTTTCTAATATTATTATTTATTTCCTTATAACATATTTGGATTGTATACCATTTATATGCATTTAATAGAATTGTACACTATCTTTGAATTGAAATCCTCTGATTCATATTATGCCAAAGTGGTGCTAAGAAGGTGGCAATATTAGCTCTATCAGCTAGTGCACCTATGTTTGTTGTGGGAGTGAATGAGAAAATGGATCAACCAAGCATGAACAATATTTTTAATACAAGCTACAAAACTAATTGGATTGCTCCCTTAACTAAGGTCTTGCTTTGTAATAGAAGTTTATCTATCGTTATGTGGATTCAAATGATATATGCACTGAAAATTTTTAGCTTCTTCGAAGAGCAACTTGCTCATTTTTGTTTTGTATACCTTCTTCTATTTTTCGGTCATCTTTACGTATGCCTCATTTTTAAAATAGTGTTTTTTTTGGTAATATGAAAGTTTTGAGAGGTGTTAATAAAAAAAATGAAAACTATAAACTCTACAAATTCTTTATAATGTGATTTCTCCATTTTGTCTTAAATGTTAGTCTTAGTAAGTCTGCTTATTAGACAAATTTCAAATAATACAGAGAGATTTGTTTTAAATGTCAGACTTAATAAGTATTTTTATTGTTTTACTTATTCTTTGACAAGTTTAATGTTCAGGGCTTTCGTAGGAAACCACAAATGTTCATGTTCATGTATTTACATGAATCATCGGACTTCAAAACTGCATCTTATCATATCCGTCAAAGGATAAGATTTGAATTTTAGATATATGAAATATTGCTATTTACAAAACCAACACAATCTTGCATCAATTTTTCAACATCTCACCACAACATAGAGATAACAACATACTATGTCCTCTTTTTTGCTAATCTTTTTTACTGTTGGTTTTGTTTTTCGGGTATAGTTGAGCAAATAAAATGCTTCGACTTGAAATATCATTTTATACGTTCAAAAATCTTTTTTCTTTTAAGGCAAGTAGGTGCGGACTGGCCCATAAAGTGGGCGGGTTACATTATGATTATTCAAATAAAAAGGAGTTTAAGCTCAACCTGAACTCACTTTGACTGCTCAAACCTCGAGTAAGTCTGCCCATGCAAGACCCGACCTGCCCAACACTAGTTCTAAATCCGACCCACAAAAAAACACGCTATTTCATATGTTTTAATTCTGTTGTTGCTTGCGGTGGGTCGCTCTGTAAACTTCCTTAAACCCTAAGGGGCTCAATGACAACAAATGAGATTTAAGTTAACAGAATTTAGTAAATCACGTAAATCCAAATTTATTAAATCCTAAGAATGTTAAATCCCAAAAAACTATTTGTAAATCGATTTAATAAATCGTGTGAAACCGTTTGACAATTTTTGTCAAGATTTAAAAATCTGTTATGATTATCAGACTTTAACAACAATCCATAATAAGATTTAGTAAATTATGTAAATTCGCCTTCTTAAAATATTCTAAAATAGCCAAAGTAACTTCTCAAATATAGTTAATATTTTCTTTCAAAACATAATAACTAATAGTTATATATTTACTAAACTAATTACTTATTAATAAACTTTTTATTAAGTTAATTATTAAATATAAGTTTAACATTTATAAAAATTAATTATATTTATTAATATTTTCTTATAAATTTACTGAATAAATAAAGAAATTATACTTATTTTAATTACTTGATAATTAAAAAATAACTAAAATTTTTAAGTATAATTAATCTGATTATTTTTTTAACTAATTATTAATTATTAATCAATTAAATTAAAAAAAAAAATAGCTCGAAGCCCTCGACTGCATTGCTCCTCTCCCAAACCCTCGCGATACAGTCGCAGTAGAAGCTAGCTGGGAACGCAACGACGGCGGGATCGCGGCTTACAGACATGGTGGGAGTAGAAAAGTGAGGGTCTGTTGGATTTCTATAGCCTAGGGCTTCGTGCAATTCTCCAGTTCCATATTTCTGTCCCAACGCATTCACTTCTTCAATTCTTTTGGATCATCGATCTTCTTGGCATGTCGAGATATCGAGGGATCCTGGTGTTACTGGCGCTGATCTGTTCTTCATCTTCCATCCACGCGGCTTCCATTGTTCGGCCGATTTCCGAATCGCACCTATCTGCAGCCTCAGAGCTGTTCGTACCCGTCAATGAATCGTTTGGAAGGTCAGTGTTCGATCTGATTTTTATTTTTGGGTGAATTCTTTGATTCTCTTGGCTTGCCTTGTTAACTTGGTTTCTTCAACAAAGATTGCTCGTTGAAGCAAACTTTTTTTTCTTGTGAAGTTATGTCATCTGTACTATATCGTTTATGTTCATCTTAAAAGCTGGGATATTTGTTTCGGTTTCCTTGAATTGTAATCAAGCTTTGGATGGTGCCATGTCTGTTTTGCTTGCTGCAGCTTAGAGAACACTTATGAGGCTCTCAGAACACTTGAGATCCTAGGACTAGAAAAAACTTATGATGTAAGCCGTGCAACATGCAAGGCCGTTGTAGAGAATCTGGGGTCATCATCTTCTACAGCAAAAGACTTGTTTTTTGCGTTGAAAGTGAATTCTATCTTGAAATGCGAGACTGAATCCATAAATTTTGAAGTGAGCGCTTTGCATTTGCTCCCTCTTTATTATTATTATTTGCGAAGTAATTGTAATAACAGAAAGTTTAAAAAGAATAATAATGTCACCTCATTTTTCTCCTTCTATCAGGGCATTGCATCAAAGCTTCTGGCGGTGTTAAAAACAGCTAATTCGTTACCAGATTTTTATTACTCCATTGGAGGTTTACTTCTTGTTAAGGTAAAAAGGTTAATATGTATTATTGAAGTGTCATGAACTCCTTATGGTGTTTCTCTTTTGTGAACTACAATGTATTGTTATTGTAGGTTACCAAAAAATGTTTTTTTAATTTTTTTAATTCTTTGAATCTTGTTTCTTTGAACCAGTCCTAACTTGTTACATACAAAAATGATTTACCTTGAAGTTTAAGAGACCTTCCATTATTTATAAATTGATGCAGAAGCAAGGTTCTGAAGTAATTTTACCAGATGCTGCTGGTGTGTTTCATTCCATAAAGGTTGGCAGCCTTGCAAAATTTTTTGGTGTGGTTTAATGCTTTGAGCAATTGCTTTAGCCAGTTTACTAACTTTGTTACACCATATGGTGGCTTATTTTACTTGAAGGCACTAAGTCAGAGTGATGGAAGATGGCGCTATGATTCAAATGGTGCTGAATCTAGCACTTATGCTGCTGGTATCAATTTCAAGGGCCTTTGCAATTCTGCTGAATCAGTGTTTTTTTTATATGTGCATTTTCAATGTTTTTTTTCTTTCTGATTTTATATAATTATGATTTTCTTTTTCTCACTTGAGAAATGTTAATTGGAGGTCAAGGGTATGAATACTCTAAATAACTTGCGGTTTCTTAAAGCACAGGTCAACGCAATTGTGGTTTGAGGATATAGACGGACAGGCACATTAGGAAGTATGCAAAATTGCGGTTTTAGAACTCAGAAGCTTTAGAAGAGTGCTGCAGAATTTTGCGCAGCTTTTGGGAAGTTTTTTCTGGTAGTTTTGTAAAATGTTCTTGATATTTTCTCAGTAGTTTAAAAAGACAAGATAAGGTTTTAGGTTTTACTTGGCTAGCTATTTCGGTTTAATTTCGAAGAAGGAAAGTCATGTTCTAGTTAATGAATGGAAGAGCTTCTGTATGTCCAAGCTTTTCTGCATAGTGCATTTATGTCGGGGCCGTTTGAGATCTTTTTTGTTTTTTGTTTTTAATTTTTAATTTTGTTTTGTTTATGTTTTGAATTGAAATAAAACTTATTTGACTATTTGATTAAAGTTTGACTGTTTATAAAAACACTCAAACCATCTAAAAGTTGTTTTGAGTGTTTTCAAAAATGTATTAATTTAATTTTAGAAACAAAAAAGAAAAACATGTAAAAAACACACTAAAGAGACATGTTTTTAAAAACAAAAGAAAGAGCAAAAACAAAATCGATCTCAAACAAGCCAAGCCTTTCATTTTTGTGCAGAAAGTTTTAGAGCTTTTATTGAGTTTTTTTGAGAGTGGGAGGGGGTGGGGGTGAGCAATTTTTCTGAATAGATTTACCTTTAGTTTTAAAATTTTACATGCTTAATTTCTGCTTTTATTGCCTCTAATATTAAAATTTCACATGATTTCTTTCTAGATTTTTTGGCTAGCTGTTTTTTGTTTATTTGTACTGTTCTTTAGAAGGCAGCACTTTCATTTGTGCATGTGTTGGACCTTTGGTGCACAAATTATCTATTTGATTTATGTGAATTTTGGTAGGACTGGCGCTCGAAGCACTTGCTGGACTTGTTTCCTTGGCTGATTCTGAGGTGGACCAGTCTATGGTAGGCATGACTGCTCAACTATTTTGAAAGTCTAAATGTTTTGGTTGCATAATATTTCAAATTTCTTTAGACCAAAGACCTCAAATGATAATTTCTTCGCTTTTTTGTATGCCCCTTATTGTGGGATTATCTTGTTTATGTTCTATGTGAATTGCACTTTGCTTAGCCCAAGTGTTTTAAGGTTATCAATCTTTATTTTCAGTCATTGTTTACATACACAGCACACAATTCTTATGTATTTACATATCTCACACCTAAACTTTCACATAACCTTTTATATTTACACACATAACACTCAAATCTTTAACTTCACATCAAAAACAGCGCTATTACCACTTTTGAAAAGTAAAATACACCTTTTCATGTATAGGTTTGAAGCAGTAAAGTATGTATGTAAATTTGAAAGTTTAGGTTTGAGATATGTAAATAAATAAGAATTGTGTGCTACAAATGTAAATATCCCTTGTTATTTTTTTTGGGAAGCAATATTTGTAGTTTTCCATTTGTTTTCAAACGTGCAAAAAATGGCAGATCAATTTGTCTTTTTGTAGAATTTAATATTAATTGTTCCCCATTTTTACAGATTGGAGTTGTGAAGAATGACATTGGCAAACTGTTTGACATCATAAAAAGCTACAGTAAGTCTATTTTGCTCTTTATTAGTATGTATGATGCTATCTGCGACTAGGGATCGTATTCTACCTAAAAAATAACAGTTTGTCACTGTATTCTACCTAAAAATATTCAACTTTATTTCCCGTAATCAGTCATAATGCAGTGTAAGTGAATGGTTGATTAAAATTAGTGGCATTTACATACATACCGCTAAATTCCTATATACTTGCATATCTAAGACCTAAACTTTACTTTTTACATTTATACAACCCAAATCTTTCATTTCACATAAAAAAATATACCCATTTTAACTTTTAAAAAACGACATACACCTTTTCATTCATAGTTAAGGTGGTGTGTAAGTAAAAGGTGAAGTTTGGGTGTTAGATATGTAAATACATAGGAATTGTGTGGTATGTATGTAAATCTTAAAATTAAGATCAACGATAAGTTTGCCATTTGCATTTGTCTAGTTATTGGTTTTGTACCCTGTTATATTTTTGTCCAATCTTATTTTTAACAACTTTTCCAGCTCATTAGAATTTGGAACCACTAATTGTTCCTTTTGTCGAACTCTGCAATTTTGCTAGTATATCAGGGAAATCAGGAAACTTTTCATAACCCTTTTTTGAGCTGCCATCCTGCATGAAGATTATAATTTTGAAAATAATGGTATTCATTTATTCTGCACTTTCTCTTTCAACTTAAAGTTTGGTCATGTCATTCACATTTCAGGACCCATAGGCTGTTTGATTTGACCGAGATGGGAGAAGTAAGATTACATGGAAATGAAAATGGCATACTAATTTAATTGCAATGTATTCTACTCGACCTGGTTTAGGTGAAAAGAGTTAGAAAAGTGCTTTTGCTTGTTTGGCTTGAATGAAAAAGTTAAAACAAAAGTAGTCATATCCTGAATTTTCCGACTCTTTAAGCTTCAAACTCGCTGTATATAGTCATGGGAAAATATTAAAATTTAATGAAGTATAAGACACAACAAAGTTTATATTTTTATGAACACTAATATCTTAGGCAAATTTTTTAAAAAAAGTGTTACTTCTCCCCTAATTCACCGGCTAAATGGAGTCGAGATAAATATCTTTGCTGTTTTTCCTCTTCAAACTTTAATTATGTTGTATATACACACAACTAAACATTAAATACGAAATAATAACACCATTTAACTTTATAGAACAAGTTTTTTGAGCACTGAACGCGAAGACTATTCAATTTTCATAAAGTTTGTTTTTCTTGTTGACCAAAGTTACTTTGCTTAATGCAGATGATGGTACTTTATACTTCAATGATAAACATTTCCACACGAATGATTACAGAAGCCCGCTTGAGATTTCAGCTGCGGTGGTGCGAGGTGTGACAAGATTTGCTGATGTTTCTTCTGGGAGACTAAATGTAAATTAAGGAATTTTTCAAATTCATATGTGACATCTATATAGCAGCGATTTTAGTCATTTTGTTCCTCATGTGTTTTTTTTGTAAATTTGAATTGCAGATTCCAGGCAGCAAAATTTTGGGCTTGGCTAAATTTTTCCTGAGCATAGGCGTTCCTGGAAGCAGCAAAGACTTATTTCATCAGATTGACTCTCTATCATGCTTAGAAAACAATAGGAGAGTGAATTCAATTTCTGAAATGTTCATCTTATCTTTTGATTTAGTCATATGCTTTTGGGATCACATTCAAATTAATCAAATATATACACAAAAAAAATTATTTTATGTCCTTTTGGTGCTTCCATGGTTATAAATTATTTATTCATGCTGCTCATTTGTGTGTGTGTGTGGTGAAATTATCATCTGCACTTTTGCTGTTTCTGTAGTTAAAAATTTATTTATGCTACTTTTTTTTGTCTTCTGCAGGATCTATATTCCACTAATCATCTCACTTCCGGCCACTGTTTTTTCATTGACCTCAAGGGATCAACTCAAGGTTATTATTCCTTAAATTTTTTTTATTTTATTTTTGTTGATTTATTAATTGTAGGCGCCATGCAAATGTTGTTTTTCTGCAATTTTTCTCTATTCCTTAATTTCTTTTCATTTTTTTTTTGCCGAAGAAGCGACTCTACATGGATTATCATTGTGAATCACAATTTATGAAACCCACCTTGATAAACTTTACTAATCAAGCCATTTATAAAATTGCAAAATGGCTAACCCAGCACATGCTTCCAGGCAATCAATCCATATCCGCTGATTTTCTCCTTCTGAAACTATTATGATATTTATGCCACTGAGTTTTCTGAAACAGGACATTATATTGGCTTATATGCATTTCCTGACAATTATGTTATATATTGTATAATTTCTTTTTTCAACAATTTCCAGGGCTTTTGGTTTTTTAGTAAAGGTTTTCTTCCTCGAGTTCAAGCATAGTTTTCTATTTCAATCTATTATTACCAGTCTATTTCTTAATCTCAAAAATGAAATTTAATTTTTGATGATGAGAAATTAAATGGCTTTTCTCCATGGTTCAATTTAAATGAAAATATTCTTATGAAGGATATACATCTGAAATCTCATCCATTACTTCCTAATTTTTGTATATAAACCTTCATTGGTTCATTTCAGGTTGATGTGACTACAGTATTTGGTGCTGCTGCACCTCCGTTAACGGTGAAACTAGTGCATGCATTCAATTCAAATTTGGAGGGAAAACCCATTATTGAAAATCAGGTTAAATTTTGACTAAAATCGTCTTTTTTAAATTACTAATTTTTCTTGTTTTTATCCTTTTTTCCTTCAAATTCTTCACATCACTCTATTCCTTTTTCTTAGAGTAATTTTGAATGTTTTGGATTGCAGGAACTCCACTTTGACAAAGAAAACTCCATTCACTATTTGAACATTGCATCATTAAATTTGGATGTTGGCAAGTACAAATTCATTTTTGAGGTATTTTTCATGTGAAGGACTTGCATACATACCAATCAATTCTTATGTATTTACATATATAACACCAAAATTTCAATTTTTACTTATGTGCCACCTTATCTATGCATGAAAATGTGTATTTCACCTTTTAAAAGTTAAAATAATGGGTATTTTTAATGTGATATGAAATATTTGGGTGGTATAAATGTATAGAGCAAACTTTAGGTGTTAGACATGTAATTTGAAATGCACTTTTTATCTGCTTGTTTGATGAGCTGAGTTGCTACATAATCTGCAGGTTTCCCTTCATGATCTTGAGGATGAGAACAAGTATACCACTGGAGGACAGACAAGCTTTTCAGCATTTTTTACAGGGTTAATCAACATTTCCAAGGGTGAAATTGCAATTCTAAATAGCGATGGTGGGAGTGTCGATACGATTGAAAAGTGGGTTCATCTTTCTCTCAAATCATTAACAAGTAGTTAGTTGAAAACGTTAATGCAAGATTTAATGGTGGTTTTTGAGAAAGCTTGGTATGTAGTTCTATAAGAAGAAGAGTGGGGAAAAATTCAAAGCGTTCTCAAGTAGTTGGATGAAATAGATAGGTTTAGAAGGGTTTTCTGAAGAACGGAGAAGATTACAAAATATTTAAATGCACTTAATCTCTTGAAGGACATGAACAAAATATGCTAGTGACATCATAAAAATATGCCTTGGTGACTGTAAAATAAAATCTACAAGACTTTCAGGTGATAGGTGGTCTAGACAACTACAATTATATTCATGTTGGTAAATCGCTTAATGTAAAATTTTGCATAATTTTTTCTTAGCCAGCTTAACCAAAGTTTATCCTAGAGATTTGTTTAGTTATAGATGATGTGTACTTGCTTTGCTTGTTAATTAGTTTTTTCATCTTAGTATTTTTGATCTTTTAATTTTTTGCATTTTATCTTTATCATTTAACTTTTGATGATACAACTTGATTATTTTACAAGGCATCTAGTGCTTAAATCTATTGTATTATATAGTGGAGATATAGATGATAACACTTTTAGGGGTTGTCTTGTATTGGGTTCAAGGGAGGATTTAAGCGGGATCTAACTTAAATTCACTCAGACGGTCATTTTGGACATCTTAAATCCCTAGATTTACTAAATCAAAATTTTATGTAAATCCCATATTTAGTAAATCTGGCTATGCAACGGCTTTACTAAATCCGAGAATGCATGAAGAGGGAGTCTGCTCAAAGTGGAGGAAGGAGTGGAGCAGGGGGATGATAAAAATGGGAGTTTTGTTAGTCTTTGTATGCCGCGATCTTGTCGTTATCTGCCCAATTGACTCTAGTGGCATATTGCAAGGGTTTCAATGATAGAAAGGAAAGGGAATACGTGATAGTTTCGGGTGAAATGGGAGGGGGCGTTAGCTGCATGGAACATGCAAGGGTTTCATGCAGAAGAGAAGAGGGGATGGGGAACATGTGTTTCAAAACAATTTATGTTAACTTAAAACTCAATTATGATTAATTTAATTGATTAAAAGTTAATAATTAATTAGTATATTATCAAGCTACTAATTAGATATGTCAAATGAATACTTCATAATTAATTAATAAAAATTAAATTACATAATAAAAACTAATTAATTCAATAAAAATCAAAGTAATTATTAATTAGTGTAATAAATAACTAATTATTAATTGATAAATGTTAAACTATTGCTTAATAAATTAACCGTTTAAAAAATTTATTATTAATGATCAATTAGTTTAGTGAATAATTAATTATTGATTAGCATAGGGCGACAACAACAACAAGCCTTTATCCCACATAGTGGGGCTGGCTACATAAATCATTTTTCTCCATTACATCCTATTGAGTGTCATATTTTCACTTAACTCTATGTATTGTGATATAATAAGCCCAAGTCATTTTAGGTCTATCTCTGTCTTTCTTAACATAAGTTGAATCTAAAATATCTACTCTCCTATCAGATGGTCGATGTTTAATGTGACCAAACCATCTAAGTTGATTCTAATTTGGCCGCCACTGGAGCTACACCAACCCTATCAGGAATATATTCATTTCACATTTTGTCTTTCAGCGTCTAGCCACTCATCCACCTAAGTATTTTCATCTAAAAAAGACTTAACTTTGTGTTATGCTTCTCTTTTAAAGGCCAACAATCTGCGTCATAGAGCATTGCAGGTCTTGCTACCATCTTATAAGTTTTTTTTTTTTTTCCAGTCTGAGCGATACTTTCTATCACACAAAAGGCCTGATGCATTCCTCCACTTCAACTAAACAACTTGAATTCTGCTAATAACATCCCCATTTATATCACTTTCACTTTGAACAATAGACTTGAGATATATAAAACATTCACGCCTTTTAATGATTTGATCATCTATAGTTACAACTACGCCACTGGAGCTAGCATTTTCTATATTCAATTTTAGATCTTCTCAAACAAAGGTTTTTAGACTCTAATGTAGATCTCCATAATTCAAGTTTTTCCTAAACTCTTTCTCTATATTATTTATGAAAAACATACACTTAGGTTCATCTTCTTGTAAATGTCCAATAAGAGCATCCACAACTAAAGCAAAAAGATATGGGTTTAAAGCCGATCCCTTGATTTAATCCAACTGAAATAGGAAAATACTTGGTCAATCTTCCTTATGTTCGAACACAAGTAATAGCTCTAGTATACATATCTTTAATGACTGAATATAAGTCTTATTGACACCTTTCTTATCTAGAACTCTTTAAAGGACTTCTCTTAGAACCTTATCGTAAGCTTTTTCTAAATCAATAAAAATCACATGTCGATCCTCCTTATTCTCTCTGTACTTCTTCACCAAACCTCTTAATAAATGTATAGCTTCCGTAGTAGACTTGCACATCATAAATCCAAACTTTTTATGAGAAATCTTTGTATCACGTCTTAACCTATATTCCATTATCCTCTCCCATAATTTTAAAAGTTTGACACATTAACTTAATTTTTCTATAATTTGCACACTTTTGTGCATCCCTTAATTTTTAAAAATGGGGACCAAAATACTTTTCCTTCATTCCGCAGACATCTTTTTAGTTTTTAAAATAATATTAAAGAGTATAGTAAGTTAAGAAACTCCCATCTTTTAAATATTCCGTCACTTCAATTGAGATAGCATCGACTCTTACTGATTTTCCACCCTTGATTTTTTTAAATCCTCATTTTTTTACAAATGAAATGATAAAAATAAAACGTTTTATCATTATTAATGATATTAATATTACTAAGATCAATCATATTTTTTGGAACTTCTTTGAAAAATTTATCAAAATAACCCACCTACTCATGTTGAATATCCTCCTCTAAGAAAAATACTTTCTAAAAGATCACTAAAAACAAAATTTTTAGCGTCATAAATTATACTCCTATACTCCCTATTGGCTAACTTATATTTTTCCTAGTTCTATAAGCTTTTATATTTAAACTAATTTTTGTAACAAAATTTTTTATATTTTATCTTTTCATGTACATTATTATTCGACCACAAACTATTTTTATTTATAAAAAATTTTCTTTTTCATTCTCTAAGCACATCTTTTGCCACGTGTTTAATAATGTTTGCCACTTTATTCCACATAAAATTCAATTCTTCATGAACATCTCAAATCTTGAAATCTTGAAGTTTACTCATAAAATAATTTTATTTTTCTTTTAGGTGCCTCAATCTAATTTTATGATAATTTTTCCTTTATCTTGCTACTCTTTATCTTAAAATCCATAACTCATAAACAATATTAGTATTTAAATTTTTAGCTTGAATGACCTTACAATCTTTATACTCTCGATGATCTCTTTTTCTCATAAGAAAATAATTAATTTATGTTTTATTAGATTCATTCTTATAAATAAGAGTATGATCATATCTTTTCTTTATTAAAATATTAGTAATAAAAAAATCATACGCTAAAATAAAATCTAATATACTTCTACATTCTTCATTAATCACACCAAAATCGTAGCTACCATGAATATTTCTAAAATCTTCTATCATTCTACCAACATATCTATTTAAATCTCCTCAAATAAAATTTTTTTCTTCAAGAAGTATCTTTTGTATTAATATTTCTAGGTTTTTCTAGAATTTTACTTTTGAACTTATATCTAAACCTACTTGAGTAGTATAAACACTTATAACATTAAAAATCTTAGTATCAACAACAATTTTTAGGGCTATAATTTATCTCAAATTCTATTTATTTTTGCAACATTATTTTTCGAACTTTTATCTATAATTACACCTAAAACATTTCTAGTGTGACTTCTGCTAGAATACCAAACTTTAAAACCTAAGCTATCATTCTACTTAATTTTTTCGCAACCTATTTTGTTTCTTGAATGCATAAGATATTTATCTTTATATGAACCGTAATATCAACTAATTCCATTACGTGTGAGAGTATCTATTTTCCAAGTTTCTATCTTAATATTAGTTTCATGTAATAATTTCTTTACTTACATCTGTCTGTAATGTGGAATAAAAATTAAATTGAATTTGATTGAACTTAATAATTATATTATTGATATGTAATTATGTTTTTGTATTCTAACAAACCTAACAGACTTCAAAATCTATGCAAAAATTGACACAGTTTTGTAGGATTTAACTGAATTTATTAAATCGGCCACCAAATAACTTTTGGAATTTAACCATTTTTAGGATTTAATTCCAGATTTACAGGATATATTAAATCTTACAAACATAAATCATAGACGTTGCGGGACTGCCCCTTGAAGTTAAAGCTGGATGATTAAAATGAATACCTCTAGATATATATATATTTGTTAATGAGGATTTCACAAAGACTTGGATAAGCATTTTGTAAAATTATAAATAGACCAATAATGTTGTATTGATTTGAATGTTTAAGTTTTTGATTTGTAAGTTTAGTTGATAGAATTAAGGTAAATTAATGGTATATTTGAGATAACAAAGGATGTATGATTAAATTAAGAATGATAGAACAATAAATAATTATAACAGAGAAAAAGTTGGGAGTAACAACTATTGAATGTATGATGATTGATAATAGGCTTAGGAGCTATTTAATTTGATGTCGTGTATATAGAAGTGTTATGCAAATAATAAATTTACTCAAATTACTATGTCATCTGTTAAATATAGGAGTGGTTGGTTCAGTGTTAGCTTGTTTATATTATTAAGTTAACTAATTAAATGGTGATTTTAACCTTACTTGGCCATCATGCTTGAGATAATCTAAGCAGTATTTAATATTCCCACCATTTATATAATCTTAATCTTGGATATTGATATTATTTAGATATCATCAAACCAAACAATCTCGTAGGACAACCTCTTAGGCGCTTAAGACATGTGCCATGAATGGCAGAATGCATTTGTTAGATGAAGGACCTGGGTATTTATGGGGAGAAGGTGAAGTAATTTTGAGCGGCATTTCAATTTTTTATAATTTTGAAGGTCTTGATGAAAGAATTTTGAAGAGCTTTTTACTTGATATCTCATATTACTTGATTGAATTTATGCTAAAACTATCTGTTTTCGATATCTCATGTTAGAAATCTAAGATTATAGCCATAGTTTCTTTAATGATTCTGCATGGCTCCATTCTCTGGGATTTAGGACCTTTCACTATGGTCTAATATTTATGAAGATGATGTCAAAAGATGCAATGTTAAAGCAACAAGCAAAATAAAGCAAAGAGATCTATCTGATCAAGTTTATTGATTGATGTATTATCATGTACCGATGTTATCAAAACCACTTAACTTTTCACAAAGATTATGAGATATATTTGAATAAATGTAGATATTAATTTATGATACCTATCAACCTTACTTTTGTTGTCTTCTACCCAGAAATTCTATACATGATTAAAACCTAAGATACTATATATGAAGTGATATATGGTGGTTGATTTATACCGCATTTTGTGCTTTTTTGCGACTTCCAAATGTGTTCTGAGTTTCGATGCCTTCGGTTATTTGGATTTGCCTTTAAGCATAAGTTGTTGGGGATCCTATCAAGGCTTCGTTTCAAAAAGCTTTTAAACTTATTTCAGTTTTTGTGGAAGCAGTTTTTTTCATTTCAACTCCGTTTGGCCATAATACTTTTTTAAAAGTACTCCTTAAACACATTTTTGTACTTACTTTAGATTTTCATTTTCACTTAACTGAAAAAAAAAACTGCTTTTTATCGAACAGCTTTCAAACAAATTTCTAAAAAAAGCCTAAATAACTTGCTGCACCTTCTGTGCTTCTGATGGACAGGTTTTTCTTCTTCCACTTGCAGATTAGACTTATCAAAGGACAGCTCTTTATCATTATCAGCAAACCATCTGCAGAAGTTTCGTCTATCTTTTCAGCTTACCACTCCACTTGGAGTCACTTTTAAGCCACATCAAGTTAGTGAACTTTGCCAGCTACTACTATCTATCCAGAATTTTACTTACCATAGATCCAATTAATCGCAGGTGTTTCTTAAATTGAGGCATGAAACCAAAGTGGAGCACATTTTTGTAATTGATAGCTCAGCAAGGCAGTATAAACTAATATTGGTTATATTCTTATCTCTGCTCGCTCATTTTTTTCTTTTCTCTTAGTAAAGTTACAAAATAGTCTCCCTGATTATATAAATTTGGCCATTTTAGTCCCAGAGTTTATAAAAAAACTTAATTAGTTCCCATATTATTTTAATTAGAGCCAAAAATAGTCTTCAAGAGAGACTAAATTGACACTTCTATAAATTGGGATTAAAATGCCCCCCTACGAAAATTCAGATCATTTTTGACACTTTTCTCTTTTATTACATGGAAATGCAATAGGAGAGATCTCTCTCTACCTAATTTATTTTTTGTCTGCTTTTCGGTACTTTGCTTTATAGACAATTGCCACACATCTGTTTCACCGCATCTATTTGCCTGCTTTTCCTAAATATTATTAACCATCAGATCTAAAAGTTGTTAAAATTTTGTAACACTCACAAGAATTTTTAAAATTATTGTGTGATAGAAAAATACCGTTTAGACTGAAAAGAAAATTTTATAAGATGGTGGTAAGACTTGCAATTCTCTATGGTGCAGAATGTTGGCCTTTAAAAGAGAAGCATAAAATCAAGTTATGTTGTCGGGATGAGAATGCTTAGGTGGATTAGTGGCTTTGCACTTGAGAGACAAAATGCGAAATGAATATATCCGTGATATGGTTGGTGTAGCTCCAGTGGCGGACAAAATTAGCGAGAGTCATCTTAGATGGTTTGATCACATTAAACATTGACCATCTAATGATCCGGTTAGGAGAGTAGATGTTTTAGATTTGACTTGTGTTATTAAAGTTAGAGGTCGACCTAGAAAGACTTGGGCATATTATATAAAAAAATATTCTTAATTTATTAGAATTAAATAAAAATATGATACTCAATAGGATGCAATGGAGAAAAAGGATTCGAGTAGCTGACTCGAGTTAGTGTTTTTTTTAATAGTTTTACTACTTTTACATACCACTTTGGTGAGATGTTTCTCGATTGTTTGCTTGTGTATTTTGAAGGATTTTTGCAACTTATCCTGGCAGGATTTTCTTGGTTTGGTGGAAAAATTTTATTACCTCTCAGGAAAATATGACATCGAACTCACCATTGGTGATGCTACAATGGTAATCTTCTTCTCCACACCACAACTTTCATCTCATTGACTATCATACATTAGCTCTATATGCAAATGTTAGTTTTATATGCAAATTTTTGTAGGAAAATTCTTTCTTGCGGGCGCTTGGCTCCATTGAACTGGACTTACCTGATCCACCCGAGAAGGCGGCGCAGCCTCCTCCACCGCCTGCTGATCCATACTTGAGATATGGACCGAAAGCAGAGATAACTCACATTTTTCGAGAGCCAGAGAAGAGACCACCGAAGGAGCTCTCACTCGCCTTTTTGGTTCTCACCTTCTTACCCCTCATTGGCTTCTTAATTGGGGTGCGTTCTTCTTCCTTCTTTCATATCATATAAAAATATCAATATTTTAATTTTTAGAAAGCGTGCCTCACATTTTCATGCATAAGGTGGCATATATGTAAAAAAAAAAGAAGTTTTTAGGTGTTAGATGTGTAAATAGAATTTAGTGACATGCATGTAAATCTTCCTTTTATTTTGTCACACAATTCTTATATATTTACACATCTAAAACGCCAAAACTTTGATATTATAATTTATGATGTTTTAACTTATGCATTAAAAAGGCAGCGATAGCGATGTTTTCGGCGTGATGCCAAAAATTTGAGCGGTATTTATGTAAATATGAAAGTTTAGTTGCTAGATATATATGATTGTGTGGTATATAAGTAATAATGCTGTACTTGTGTGAGATTATTTCAAAATGAACTCTTATAAAACGATGAGTAATCTAAGTAATTAGATGTTACATGCTCGATATCCATGACAATTAATATGGCAACTATATGTTTGGTTAAAGTTTTATTTATATGATGGAAGATTTGCAAACATACCGACACACTTTCTATGTATTTACATATCCAACCCCAGATGTTTTATATTTCCTATGTATGAGAAACTGCATTTGTTTTTTGAAAGCGAGTTATAATGACATTTTTGATGTGATGTTAAAGATTTGAGTTTCATGAATGTAAATATCAAAGTTCAGATGTTTAGACATATTAAATATACGCGATTTATGTGGTAAATATGTAAATGCCTCCTGTATAATATAGAAATCATCCATTTGTTTCTGTCAAATTTGCATCACATTTTATTTATCTTGCAGCTGATGCGACTGGGATTAAATCTGAAGCTCTTCCCCTCTTCCCCTCTGCCCGCTGCATTCAGCATACTCTTCCATGCCTCCATTGCAGCAGTTCTTCTTCTTTATGGGCTTTTCTGGTTCAAGGTTTGTCCTATTGTCATAAAACTAAAAAGTTAGGAGATATATATGTAAATTAATAAGAATCCAGTGGGGTATGTGTTTAAATTCCTTTTTTTTTAAAATTTTTTTTATATTTTTGGTTCATTGAACAGTTGGATCTCTTCACGGCTCTGAAGGGCCTTTGTTTCCTTGGCCCATTCCTGGTTTTTGTGGGCCACCGGACTCTATCCCACCTTGCATCAACATCTGCAAAACTCAAGGCCTCTTAAGAAGTTGTATTTTCAGCTTATAAGGTATGAAAATTGTGTTTTTTTTTTAAAATAAAAAAGACAATTTTGAGGCTTAAATTAGTTTAATAGGCTGGAGAAGAGTGTTGTATTTTAGCTAAATATTTATCTTTTGGGTTTTAGAACTGTTATTTTGATTTTGGGATGATGAATATTGTTATGGATTATAATTTGATTAATGTTGTTGCCTATATAACGTTAACGATCCGATTTTGAGCCGAGTTGGAGTCTGCTCGAAATCGACTCGAATGGATTGACTGCAGCTTGAAATCGGCTTGCAGCTTGTTATATTCGATTTCGAGCTAGCTCGGCTCGAAATTGAATCGAGCTCGATATGTCTTGAAATCAAATTGAGCTAGCTCAAAGTGAGTTTTTTTGGATCCATTTCAGCGTAAAACTGGCTCGATCCGGCTCAAAATTGAAACTATTTGCCTCAAATTTTTATAATTAAAATATACTTCGAGCTGATCTCGAGCTAATTTGAGCCAGTTCATTTATGACAAGAAATCCGCACGAAAAAGATTGGATCCAAAGTTTTGGCTCGCAGTCTGGCTCATTTATTTATTCGGATCTGATCATTTACGACGAGAAATTAGACGAAGAAGATTCAATTCTGATTGGTTATATGCCAAAAGAAAATATAATAATAGTGATATAAGACTCCATTTTTGCATGAAATGAAATTAAAAAATGATTAATAACAGACTAATAAATATTATCAAGTTATTTGATAATATAATTAAATTATTAGGTACATCATCATGACATGATGTATATATTTAATTAAACTTTTCCATTAGTGAAGTAGTTTTAGGTTACCTAATTTAATGTGATGTTGCATGGTTTGGGTGGACAAGGTTAGGACTGTTAAAAATATTTACAAACTTACATAATTTGAAAATAATTTAAAAAGTTGGGCTTAATTTGAGTTTTACAGTCTATAAACACTATAACATAATATTTAGTGTTTAATTAAATATCTATATTTTCTCATTATATATATATATATATATATCACGATATAGGGGTGTAATTGAGCTGAACACGAGCGAGCCTCATGTTCGGTTTGTTTATATTTCGAGCTCAAAAAGTGTGTTCATGTCTGATTCGTCTGTTTAGCGAGCCGAACATGAGCCGATCACGAACAAAGAGTCGGTTTGACAACCTTAATCACGTAGCCATGAGATATTAAGGATTGGGGCAAGATATTAAAATATTTGTTTATGATAAAACATCATTTGAATCTAATTTAATAATTTTATTTTATTTTTTTAATTAATATTTTTAATTGATTATAAATTTTTGTAGCCTCGTAGTCAATTAAATTTTTTAAAAATGCTACTATATATATATATATATATATATATATATATATAATTAGCTAAAACGAGCCGAACACGAATGAACAAATCTTTGTTCGTGTTGTTCGTGTTTGGCTTGTTAACTTAGCAAACGAGCTGAACACGAGCTTCTTAACAAGCCGAACACGAGCTGTTCGCGCACGACGAGCCGTTTTGATAGCCCTATCACGATATTCATATATATTTATATATCAAACATCTAAATTATAGTTTTTATATTTTTATCATCAAAATCTTTCATATCATATAAATAATATCACTATTTAAATTATTTAAAAATGAAGTTCATATTTTCTTCCATGATCTGTCATATATGTAAGAAATTGAAGTATAGGTGTTACATATACATATACTTCTATAATTGATTTGTCATCACAAAATCATTATGTTGACCAGTCAAATCACATTTATGCAACATTCCTTTTTTAATATTTCCACTAATTGGTATTTTTAATTTTACAGTCTCTTAATTACTGCAATTTTTATTCTAAATGTAAGTCTGTCCAATTGACTTGATCAAATAAATGGTTGGAATTACAACTGGCTCACCACCACCACCAAAGCTGACCTAGGACAAGAGCAATTCCACTTGTACATAACTTAATCCTCTCATATGAAGCCTCCAAAAGCTTCATTGAAGTGGATAACCATTCCCTAATTGTTTCTTTTCTAGATTGAGCCCTCTACACCACATTTGGTCGAGCGTGTTGATCCCTTCTTTGTGAAGTTGGACAAAGCTGGTGGAGCTTGTTGTCGAGCATTTGGAGTTGTTCGTGGGACTCTGGCGATTATTCCAGTTTTTTTATTTGGTTGTAGCACCCCTAATTTTGAGGCATTCTTTAAATGATAGATTAGGGTTCACGGTAGTTGATGTTTTGTGAAATATTTGTTGACACCATAACATTCTAGTCGTTGATGTGTTAGGAGTGTTTGGATGGTGCTTTTGATGTGTGTAGTTTTCTATTTTAGGTCCTTGATAATTTGGATTAAGCGGGTTTCTTGGAGCTTTTTGGTTCACTATCTCATTAGGATGATGAACTGATAACATCCAATCCCATGATATGGGAATGGATGGTCTGATTTAGTTGGGTTAGGGCTGACTAATCTGCAATGTACTCTGTAGTTTAATTAATGATTAATATTGATTGCCAACCCAATTAGAATCTGCCACCTATTTAGTGAACAAAAAGTGGTGGTGGATCTTAATTGGTTTGGCAATCATTGCCAATGAAGAGCTAAACCACAAAGTACATTTAAACCAAGTTTGAAAGTACATTTGAAATTCTCAAAAATTATAAATAAATATTTTCCTCTTAAAAGTCATCAAAGTCATGTATTTAAACGGTTGATTCAATGAAGATCTCGCCACTTAATTTCCATAACATATATGCATGTTCTTCAGAGTGTGAGAAAATCTATGGAAATATAGGAAAGAGCTCAGAGATGGATGGGTCAGTTGCCAATTAAAGGAATGTTTTTAGGGAATTTATATCTAGGTGTTTTTCAGCCATGACAAAAATGCCATGGCACTGAAAGGTCCATCATGCTATATTTGATGCATAGACTGACCATTTTAATGAATTTATGGATGCCCTTGAGGTATTGGGTTTAGAAACTCAAGGAAGTGGCTAAAGCCCTCGACCCTTCAATAGTGCTTAGGGAGACTGAGGGTGTCTTATGTGGCTCACAACTCATGCAGTTTCTAACTCACTACTATTGTGGCTTACGAATATTATTACAGCTTACCACCATGGCCTCTGTGACCAACTACGACCATATGACTCACAATCCATGCATCTCCCAACTCCATTCTCTGTGGCTTACATATGTTATTGTAATTCCCACCTCTGGCCTTTGTTGCTTACTAACGTTAATACAGCTCACAATCACGACCTATGTGACTAACTATGACCCATATGGCTCACAATTCAAACATCTCCCAACTCTGTCCTCTGTGGGTTTTATACGTTATTGTAACTCTCAACTACATCCTCAATGGCCTATGGGTGTTATCTTAGCTCACTCATATGACCCATGTGATCAACTACGCCCTACGTGGCTCACAACTCATGTAGCTCATAACTCAGGTCTCTGTGGCCTATGGATGTTATCGTAGCTCCCCACTACAACTTATGTTACTAACTACGACCTACATGACTCACAACACATGCTGCTCCCAACTCTGACCTCTGTAGCTTGCGAACGTTAGTGCACCTCCCTCCTATGGCCTATTAGACAGACTACTATCATTACAACCCTCCTTTATGGCCTTTGTGGACAACCAATGATATCACAACTCACTACTACAACCTATGTGACCAACTACAATCTAAGTGGTTCACAGCTCATGCAACATCTAACTACGACATACATGACACACCCTCATACAGCTCTCCACCACGACCTCAATGTCCAACTGACGTTTTTGAAGCTACCAACAACAGCCTTTATGACCAACTACTACAACGAATTTCAATTATGGCCTCTACGACAGACTGATACTATTACAACAACTAAGAGCTACATTTGTTGTAGCCCTATCATGTCTATTTAAGGCAAACCATTATTGTACTTCTGTAATTTCATCTTTCCTTTCAGGATAAGAATGACTTTATGTACTTACAATTACATAATTGATTGCTCGACTGGGCCATGCCTTGATTTTTTCCCTCTATAGGGGTTTCCAAGTAAAAATTGTGGTGTCTTTCGGGCCTACTACTATTTTCTTATCTGTGTGTGCAGGACTATCATGAAATGATAATATACTAATTTATTAATCTAATGTCGTGAATCTACTGACACTCAATAATCTGAACGACAGATGGGTAAATATATAAGAATTGTATGATGATTTACATATGTTAGAGATGTAAATATATAATAATTGTATGGTCATGAGAGAGAGAGAGAGAGAGAGAGAGAGAGAGAGAGAGAGAGAGAGAGAGAGAGAGAGAGAGAGAGCTCTTTCCTAATCTCAAGTCTCTATTCACTAACACACATTATTCTCAAACTCAAATAACTTTTTTTAAAAAAAAATCTTTATTTCCTTTTTAATTCAAAATCTTTGAATAATTAAAATATAAATCTCTAATAAGCGACAATGGAAAATAGGAAAATTAATAATATATAGCACAAAAAATACAAACCAAAAGCTACATAATAATAATATTAGCTTAAATATGGAGAGTCCGAAGTGCTTAAGCAACATATCTAATGATGTTTAGCTTAATACATCCATTAATCCTATTTATATGTGCATAATTACATATTAATTTTTCAATATAAAGATAATAGGCACTTGTAAAATATAATTATATCCATAAGAAAAATACATTAAAATGTTAGACTCCAAAGTATAACTTTATTGTCATAATTACATTTCTTAATGTATAATAATATTTTTATATTGTCAAACAATTAAATTGCATTTGTTCAATATTTATTTTAATTATATTTATCTAGAAGTTTATAATTATATTCATGATATATAAATTTTAAAAAAATATAAAACATAATCTCATTCGAATAAAAATATACTAGAATTTTTGTTAGGCTATTAATCCCAAATTATTTAAACTGCGATTCGTCGGCCGCACGTGTTGAAGTGCTAGCCACACATGTCGAAGTGCTGGCTATCATGCCCCTTATTGATGTTGATCCGCTGACTCGATTTTGCGCGGGCTCATGCAAGTAGGGCTGTCAAAAAAGTTCGTTGTTTGTAAATAGTTCGTGTTCGGTTCGTCCATGAGTTCGTGCTCGATTCGTTCGATAAGTAAACGAGACGAACGTGAACAATTTTTTTTTGTTCGGTTATTTAAATGAATCAAACACGAACATTGATGCGTTCGTTCATATTCGAAATATAAAATAATTTAAAATAATTATTTATATATATATAGGAACCCTATCAAGTCCCAGTTCAAGGTTCCATCATCTATCAGTAAATTTCCCAAAATTCAATCGATTCATTATTAGGAATAGTTTTTTTTTTTTTCCTATTTTAGTATTACGTTACATTTTTAAGACATTAATTTTTATCAAAACTATTGACATTAACTTAAAGTATAGAGCTCGTCGTTCTTGAACTGCTCGTGTTTGGCTTGTTCGTTAAGAAACAAACACGAACAATGACTTTAAGAACAATTTCGAACACGAGCTTATTTCAAACAAACTAAATTTAAAACGAACCGAACACGAACATAAGCTCTGTTCGTTCGTGTTCGGTTCGTTTACACCCCTACATGCAAGTGCACACGTCACGTAAGTAATATAATTAATATAAGTCCAAAATTATTCTCATAAGGATTACTCATGTATGCAAATTAAAGTCAATGCACTAGTTTAAAGACATTTAAGGGTCTGTTTGGGGCAGCTACAACTTATTAAAAAATATCTTTTAAGTTCTTGAAAAATAATTCAAAAAATTAAATTTTTTTTTTTTTTTGAAAAAGTTCAGACCGCATTGAAACATAATACTGAAACTTTGATTTTTATATTAATGAGACTTAAATATTTCATATTGCATCGAAAAATATCACTATTTTAACTTTTAATTATAAAATACACCTTCTCATATATAGGCAAGGCGACGCATATATAAAAATTGAAGTTTTGGGGTTAGATATGTAATTACGGAGAATTTGAGTGGCATTTATGTAAATCTTCCTTTATTTTCCTCTTAATTTGTGATATTGAAGTAATAATAATAATAATAATTTCTCGCACCAAACTAAATTGATTTTTTACATATATACCATCCAAATATTTCATATATATATCAAAAGTATCACTATTTTAATTTTTTTTTAAAAATGAAATACATATTTTCATGTATAGGGAGGATGGCATATATGTAAAAATTGAAATTTAAGTGTTTGATATGAAAATACATAGCAATTGAGTGGTATGTATGTGTTAATCTTCCAAAAATTATTATTTAAATCTCTATTAAATTTTTAGTGAAAAATCATTTAATCAAAGTTAAATAAATGACTGCCAAAAATATAGTATGTGATATAAAAATTATAAAAAAAATAGTATGATACAATGAGATATTTATTTGGGGATCGATCGGGATCGGGCTTCGCTTTGCGAAGCCAATCGGTTTTTGAGCATGACAACCGATCAGCCTTATGTTTCCGGTCGGCAAGCCTGGCTGTTGTTCTTTGGTTGTTGATAGAGCCTCGTGTTGATACTTGGGATTTGTTGGTTTTGTTTGGGGGGTTGGACTTTTGTTCGTTGGTTGGCTTGGATGTTTGTCTCTTGTTAGCCATGGTGGAGCTTTGGTGGTCAGATTAGTCTTCAGTCGTCCGACAATCCTTCGATCTGCTGGTTATCAATCAACTGGTTATCTTCAGATAATCAAATTCATTATGACTTGTAAATCTTTCTTAGAATTCATTAAATTTAGAATTTTTTTTTAGTTAAAATGCATTCATATGATAAATTTTTCTTGATGGCACATGGCATATATAAAGTTATGAAAACATTACAATCTCAAAAGATATTTTTTATTTTCTAGAAACATATGCCGCACTCAAGTCACTTATAGACATATATAATCTACTTAAAATCTTAGAAAAATAACAAGATATATAACAATCTCTATGAAATGATTTAAATAATATATAATAAACACAGTCTATTCTCAATAATTTTTTCAAAACTTCATTTTTTTTTTTCTCTAACCCTCCCCTCCCCTTTTGTCTTTTATCTTTGGCATCTTGAGGAATCTCATCGAGCGTCAAAATTTCCAACACGACACATGACACTTCTTTCTCGATGTGCTCAATCCACTCTATCATGTTGGAGAAATTATTAGGTGCAGTTGACCTCACGTCCGAACAACGGTGTGGAAGGGCCGTCGTGTGAATCATGATAGCGTGAACTGTATCCAGACCATCTTTCAAACAAGCGATCAGCAACACATAATAATTTTTCACCACGTTGACTCTTAACCCTTTCTTCAAACCCTAGCTTGAAAGTTAAATTGCTCGAATCAAACACAGCCGACTGGAAGATGCCTTTAGATGAAGATAGAGCTCAGATACATCCGTACTTCATGTATAACACAATTTGTTACAATCTCATTGTACTTTTATTGGGTTTATAAATCGTATCTCATATGCACATAACATAAGATTAATGGTTTGTTTGGGGCAGCTGCAACTTATTGAATAATCTGCTGATAAGCTAGGTGCGGTGACTATTATAATTTTTTTTTTTTTTTAGAAAAGCCAGACCGCAGTCAAAAAGCTGTCACTGCACCTAGATAGGTGCGGTGTGAACTACCAAAATACTGTTTATCCAAACAAGTCTGGTGAGCGTTTTTAAAACGTCACCTCACCAAATAAGCTGCCCAAATAGGCCCTAAGATTCTACTAAAAATCACCTTGATTACAATGCGTTAGGAAGTGCCCATCTTAATCAATTCTACTTTATTATAAATATTTTTGTGTGTTGGAAATTGAGAAATCAGACGTTAAGTTCAAATTTAAAATTTTTAGTAGTTAGAAAAGCTTCCGTTGACAAGGTTTGATCAGACGTAATTGATCGCGCCAATTAATGGCGAGCTGATGCGCTCGCAGGAGACGAAGCCCAACGCCCATGAAAGCAGGATTCCGCCCTCCATTTCTTCGTTACATCCGATTTCATTAACTTATTTCATTCGTTGCAGCATTCATCTTTCTCCCTCTTCGTCATCTTTCCTGCAACTCCGATGGCGAGATGAGGATTCCGCCGGCCGCAGCAGCGGCGATTTTGATAGCTTTGATCGTCGCCGCTGCAGAGGGGCTGGGTTCTCCGGCCACCATTGCCGTGATACAGTCCTCCGGGACAGTCTGCGGGATCCTCGCCGGAGCTGGACGGGAGAGAGTGCGTTGCGCGGGTGTCGGGCTGCCGGAGTTCTCTGTCTCTCCAAAACTGTCTTTTGAATCGATTTCCGGCGGCCGGGATTTCTTTTGCGGGCTGAGGTCTGGAGGAATTAGTATATTTTGCTGGACTGTGAGAAACAGCTCCGCCGGACAGGTATCGGCGAAGAGGATTTACAACGGCCCTGTTCCCCTCGCGGATCTCAGCGTTGGGGATGATCAAGTCTGCGCCTTGCAGAGAAATCGAAGCAGAGTTCTGTGTTGGCGGGGTGATGGAAGTTTCCCGGCGAGCTTCGACGGAGAATACCGATCGCTGACGTCGGGGAGAGGGTTTTCGTGTGGAATTGGGGTTGATAACCGCGTGCAGTGCTGGGGAGGACATGGTTTGGAGTTCCGAAGCGCTTTTGGTGATATATTGATGCAGAGCGTTGTTGCAGGGGACTCGCATGTCTGCGGAATGGATCTCTCTGGTTTTTTAATTTGTAAGGGAAGCAATAGCTCCGGCCAATTGAATGTTCCCTCAGGCGGCGCTTTTGAGTTCTCCGGCTTGGCTCTTGGTCTGAATCACTCATGCGCGATCAAGCAGCCTAATGGTACTGTGATCTGTTGGGGCGGCGGCGGCGGCGGAGTTTGGAGTTACAGTCCGGAAAATAGCATGAGTTTCGAGCTCGTGGTCGCCGGCGGCGACCTCACCTGCGGGGTGATAACGGATAACTTCACGGTGATGTGCTGGAAAGCGAATGGGATCAATCATTCCACATTTTCTCTTCTTCTGCCCCAAGTTCTTCCGGGAAGATGTGTTGCAGAAGAGAGTTACTGCAAATGCGGCGTCTTCCCCGATTCGGAATCTCTCTGTTCAGATTCCGGCGTGATTTGCAAGTCCTGCGGAGCTCCTTTTATCCCTCAACCGCACCCTCCGCCGCCGGCAATACCTTCTCCGTTACCGGAATCAGCTCCGGGTTTCCTCAAGACGAGCACAGGATGGATAGCCTTCGTTATTATCGGTTTCGTCGGAGGATTTGCCGCCATGTGCAGCATTCTATGCTTCTTATGGAACCGCGCTCGCCGGAATAAGAAAGTTCACAATTCCAAGCCGCCGCCTCCACCGCCGCCGCAGCCGCCGCCACCCACTTTTAACACAGGTCAACATTCCAACATTTCCGGCAACTCTCCACAGCTATCCATCAGCATCCCCAGCCCCCTATTCTCCCCACCCGGCTCGAAATCCCAGGCATTCCGCCACTACATTACCCGCGGCACCAGCAGCCGTCGCAGGGGACCATCATCCTTCCATGAACGCGCAGAAGTCTTCACCTTCGACGACCTCGCCGCCGCAACAAACAACTTCTCCCTGAATGCCGAATCGGGATGGGAGGCTTCGGCACGGTTTACAAAGGCAAGCTCAAAAACAACCGGGAAGTCGCCATTAAACGCGGCGAGCTCAAATCAGCCCAAATAAATACAAAAATTCAGGAAAAGGAGCGAGCTTTTCAATCCGAACTCATCTTCCTCTCTCGTCTCCACCACAAACACTTAGTAAACCTGGTCGGGTACTGCGAAGAGAGAGACGAGAGGCTCCTCGTCTACGAGTACATGAAAAACGGCTCCTTGTACGACCACCTGCACTCCAGAACTGGAACCGAGGCAGGACCACCCATGGATTCCTGGAGAATGCGCATAAAGGTCCTTCTGGACGCCGCTCGAGGAATCGAATACCTGCACAACTACGCCGTGCCGCCGATCATCCACCGAGACATCAAATCTTCAAACATATTGCTCGACGGCGACTGGGTGGCGAGGGTCTCCGACTTCGGTTTATCATTAATGGGGCCGGAAGCAGAATCGATCTACCTTTCAACCATAGCTGCCGGAACAATGGGCTACATAGATCCGGAGTACTACGGCGGAATACAGCAGCTGACGACGAAGAGCGACGTCTATGGCTTCGGAGTAGTGATGCTGGAGATGTTAACGGGAAAAAAGGCGATTTTTAGGGAGGAAGGGGGAGAGAGCGGGGAGCCAGTGAGCGTGGTGGAGTACGCCGCGCGGAGGATTGATGATGGGGAGACGGGGAGGGTGTTGGACCGGCATATGCGGCGGCCGGAGCTGCGGGAGGCGGAGGCGGTGGAGCTGGTGGCTTACACGGCGGTGCATTGCGTGAGCATGGAGGGGAAGGATAGGCCGGCCATATCGGGTGGTGTCTGGAGAGCGCGCTCGCGCTCTGCGATGCGAGGAAGGAGGAATGCTGGTCCAGCTCTAATCTCTCCTTTTCCTCTAGAGATTGATAAATTTCCATTTTTTTTTTAAAAAGAAATGAATTCAAGGGTTTGGATTATAAATATGTTTATGTAAATTTAAATTTTTTTTTTCAAAGATAAGTGCATAGAGATCACACCAAATATTGTTATTTATAAATTAAATGTTGAGATAATTTTTTTATTCTTTTATCAAATTTTAAAATTCTCACTCAAATATCAGGAGTCATGATAAAACTCTGGCCTATGTTGTTCGCTTTTTTCAAATTCATAATGTTTTGATTGTGACACTCATAAATGGATCAGTTTCGTAGTTCAAAAAATCACCTTAATACTTCATTTGTAATTATTTCTTTTTCTAGAGTTTAGAAGGCTAGCAAGAATTTACACCACTATAAATAAAAACTTTACAAGTCAATTTTCTCCAACAGATGTTGACTACACACTACGAGAAGTTCATATTAGGATATGTGGTAAGCACTTAGGCGAAATATCTTTTGTTCTCAAGATAATGAGATAGGGATATTACTAGCTAAATATGGAATAAGATGTACTTGATTTTACCAAAAAATATCAGAGTTGTCAGTTTCATTTTAGCCTCATACACATTCCACTGGTAGAGCTTACATTCCTTCAAACCCCTGATCATTTGCCCTGTGGGGGATAGACATCATGGGACCTTTTACTATAGCACCAAAATAATTGTAGTGAATTTGGTAATTGATTACGCCACTAAGTGGGAAGAGGCTAAACCCTTAGCGAAGATCACGAAAGGCAAATACCAAATAATTTAGGGTGAAGAATATCATTTGTCACTTCAGTATTCCTGCTAAAATCATTACTAAAAATGAGACTCAGTACACAGGAAAGGTCTTTACATCTTTCTCTAAAGAGCACCACATCCAATCGTTGCAAACAATTATTACTCACCCCCAGACAAACTACAGTCACCAATTGTATCATCGTTAATGGTTTAACAACTCGCTTCAAGAAAACTGAGGGGCAATGAGTTGAGGAGCTCCTTATTATTATCTAGGCTTATCTCACCACCTCACATGCACAAACTGGAGAAATACCGTGTAATATATGATTCAACATAAAAGAAATTATCCCTGCAGATATCATAATCTCAAGCCTATGGTTTCAAACTTTCAATCTTGTGTGAACGACGAGAAACTCTGATAGACTTTGAATCTTCTTCCAAAAACTTGCAAAGTCTCCATTCTCAAAACGAGCTTTAAACAATCAAAGGGTGGCTTGCTACTTAGACCGAAGAGTAAGACCTAGACCTATCCCCATTGGGAATTTGGTCTTGCGAAGTTTCAAAACCGCAAAACATAAACCTCAACGTAACAATCTTTAGCCTCTCCAGGAAGGGCCATATGTGGTGACTTTCATGATTAAGGTAGAAACTTTCAAGCTGAAGGACTTAGATGGAAAGACACTTCTACAAACCTAGAATAAACAAATTCTTTATAAATTTGCTAGTAGTCAGCACGATCGTGCTACACTAGTTGTTTATTTTTCATCTTTATTAGTGTTCAATCATCACTTCTGCATTAGTGAGTTTGTTTTATATGTACTTCAGCTTCTTGTATCATTATTGTTTGAGCATTAAAATTATATTTACTTTTTTGTACCAAATATTTTATTTGAATACAATTATGATAACTTTATGGCCGCTTTATAGGCTCGTGTGAACACCACCCCCATTTGGGGATGATGAATCAAAAACCAACAAAAGGTTGCCTATCATCATTCGTGAAGGTGGTCACAACGATATTTCCAAAAAATGATATGGTCCATCTCGACTTACGCCCCAGACTCGAGAAATACATAATATATTCTAGCACCTCATTCAAGGTTAAATCAGTCATAGGGGGACCTGATTTGACCTCTTCCATAATAGGTTATGGACGCCAAGCAGAGGCTATGACTAACAAATTAGGATTTCATAAAACTTTTTCCATAACAAGCTCCGGTCCTCAAGTAGGGGCATCGGGGCATCGAGTAACAAACTAAAAGAGGTAAAAAATTATTGGAAGATTTCACAAGAACTCCTCTAGTACATGCTACGGTCTTTTCAAACAAAAGCTCCAACTAAACTGTCTAAGATAGTTATAAAAATATTTGAGAGATTTCTTTCAAACTCTTTAACCATAAGTTATTATTGTCAAGTAGGTGCTTCGACTAACAACTTAGGATAAGGGATGGCTTTAAAATGAGCAAAATCAACTCAAGGACAAAAAAAAAAGTAAAGATAAGGCCACCGAAAATATAGAATTTCCATAATTCAATCATTTTGTTGATGTGCATGAAATTTAAGCATCTACAGCACATGATTTTATAAAGAGTTAAAATGACTACCTCGAATAAACAATATTTCCTGGAACAAAATAGAATAATATGAAGTGAGGCCAAAGCAAATGTCTACAATAGCATATTTAAGCTTTACTAAATAATAAAAATTCCCTCAAATTTATATTGTCTAGATTATTATAGAAAATAAACTAAGTGTTTTTTTATTGTGGCAACCTTTAACTTTCTATAAATTAATTTGGGGCTATTTGCAAAGCTTGATATGTATTGGAGACTTGAAAATAATAAAGTAATAAAATAACAATACAATCATTTAAAAAACTAGAAAGTTTGGCCAACCCTAATTTTGAAGGATACTGATTCTTATTACAAATAGTGTCAAATTAACCACCATTCTTGTTCTCAAGAGGTGAAACCAAGTAATTTATATATAATTGGTAGTGATTTATCATCTAAAGATTTTAGCTTTTGGAGGGAAGGAGGTCATGCATGCATGCTTGAAAGTTGGATTTGTCTTAATTATGTGATTTTATTCATATTGGATCCAACTAATTTAAGCTTAGAAAGTTTGTTTTGCAGAATATTTTAGTAACATTTTTTATATTGTTGCATTTTGCATCCATGCTTTCGTTTGATATGTGGCAATAGGTTTGTACATGTTGTGAAATTTAACGCGGAATAAAACAGGAATCGACACAAACTAGAAGAAGAACACAGAGATTTAACGAGGTTCGGCAGAGAATTGCCTACGTTCTCGGGAGCGAGCGGCGATTTCACTATTTCAGAGAAGTTCAAATACATCCCATAGGGTTTCACATATAAATAGACATATACAAACCCTTAGATAAAATTACAATCACGCCCTCGCTCCTCCCAACCCCCCTTTATTCCAAGAGACACTCCTTTTCACCAGGAGACACACCTCTTCAAAAGAAACTCCAACTCCCTAGATAAGAGCCATATCTAACAATTCTCCACCTTGGCGAATATCCAACACCTTAGGAGATATGCATCACCCGGTATATGCGCCTACCAAACAAATCTCCACCTTAGTGAATATTCAGCCCCTTTAGAAGAAAATACTTCATGGAGTTTCTTACACCGTAGTGGGTTGGGCAACCAAACCATCTAACCTGGCTTGGTCAAAGTTCCTGTTGCATTTTCATCATATGATTCAACAGAGCGATATCCACCTGCAACTGTACTCCCTATCAGTTTATAGATGTTACCTACAGTGATCTTTCCTTTCATCACAGTCAGTGCACCCTTAACAATTTCGATGGTTTCCCTATCCTCATCTGCCTTAAGAATGAAACCATTTCTGTGTAGAGTGCCCAAGGAAATCAAATTCTTCTTCAACTCTGGAACATGTCTGACATCACATAATGTTCTAACAGTATCATCATACATCTTAACTCTGACTTTACCAATACCAGCAATATTGCATCGTCTATTATCACCCAAATAGACTGAACCAGAATCAGATAACCTGTATGAAGTAAACCACTCCCTGTTAGGTGTTATGTGATAAGAACATCCTGAATCAAGAATCCATCCATCCTTTAACTGAGTTGTTGTAACTGAAAGCGCATCACCATCACTGTAATCTGTAATGTCACTCTGCACCATATTCACAGGCCTGGAAGATACATCACGAGTCTTCTTCTTGAGCATTGGACAATCTCTCTTCATATGTCCCTGTTCCTTGCACTTAAAGCAACGAATCTTCTTGCCTTTAGGCTTTGACCTGGAACTTTGCCTTCCAGAATTCTCCTTCTCCTCCTTACTTTCACAATCCTGATTACCCTTGGCATATAAACAATTACCATGAGAGCTTTCCTCTGCATTCTGCTTCCGCTGGTTGTGAGCCAACAATGCTGCAGTAATCTCATCAATTTTAATTGTTTCTTTCCCATATGTAAGAGTAGTCACCAGATGTTCATAAGAAGTAGGCAATGAACACAAAAGAATCATTGCTCGGTCTTCATCCTCAATATTCACATCAAGCCGTGCCAGATCCGTGATTATTTGATTGAAGACATTAAAGGGCTGAACCAAATCAGTGTATGCCTGCATCTTCAGCCCATACAGCCTTTGCTTCAGATACAATTTATTCGTCAAAGATTTGGACATAAACTGAGATTCCAATTTCTTCCATACTTCTCATGAAGATTTCAGATTCATAACATGATACATAATCTCATCTGCGAGACATAA